CTGCCTGTCTCTCTGTCTCTCTGTCTGTGGGTCTGTCTGTCTCTCTGTCTCTCTGTCTCTCTGTCTCTCTCTCTCTGTCTCTCTCTGTCTCTCTCTCTCTCTCTCTGTCTCTCTCTGTCTGTCTCTGTCTGTCTCTGTCTGTCTCTGTCTGTCTCTGTCTGTCTCTCTCTGTCTCTGTCTGTCTCTGTCGGTCTCTGTCTGTCTCTGTCTGTCTGTCTCTGTCTGTCTCTGTCTCTCTCTCTCTCTCTCTTCTCTCTTCTCTCTTCTCTCTTCTCTCTTCTCTCTTCTCTCTTCTCTCTTCTCTCTTCTCTCTTCTCTCTCCTCTCTCCTCTCTTCTCTCTCTCTATTATTCGTTTACGTCTGTCTGCATTTATATGTAGCTATGTGTGTGTGTGTGTTACGGTCACTTCAAGATCTTAGGGCTAGGCTTTGGGTGCAGCTTTAGGTGTGCACCTAGAGACAAAAGCGAAATATGGGTCTCGGGTGAGGCTTTTGGGAAGCTTAAGAACGAAACGAATGTATGGCTGTTTCTGAAGCATGAAATAAACAGATAACCAGATAGCCAAGAGTCCATGAATCAAAGCAGTCTATATACATACTTCCTATATCTAGCTGTGCATGCTCACATACATATACATATATACATATACATACCCGTTTACATGTGTATATATATATATATACACACTTATACATATAATTATACACATGCGTATACAGCGTCAGATACATACACATACATGTACCCATATACATCTACATACACGCATGCATTCATGCGTACGTGCTCACATGCATACATGCATACATACATGCACATCCACATATCCACATATCCACATATCCACATATATACATATATATATATATGTATATGTATATATATATATATAGATATAGATATATAGATATACACGTACATGCATACATACATACATACATACATACATGCATGCATACATGCATACATACATGCATACATACGCACATACATACATACGTGCATACTTACGTATTGATGTGCATCTGTATAGGTGTACACATACAAGCCATACAATCCAATGCAGCACAGTACAACACATAGCCATACAATTTACTATGTGCAATGCAATACAAAACAACACAACCTTAAGGTAAACACCCGCTCCATATTATAAACCCTAGACCCTAAGCCCTAGCCTTTGAACGCTAAACCCTAAGCCCTAAACCCCAAACCCTAAGCCTTAAACCCTAAACCCGAAACCCTAAGCCGGTAAGGTGAAAGGTCTCGTGCTGAAAAGTGAGGCCTGGCCTGGCGTGGGGGGGGGATTCGCAGCGGGTTTCGCGTTTGAGGGTTTAGGTTTTTAAGGTTAAGGTTTCAATTGTTTAAGATCTAGGGTTTCGGGTTGAGGATTTAAAGTTTAGGATTTGGCGTTTAGAGGTTCCAGGGTCAGGGTCAGGGTTTTTGATATCCAGTTTAAGCCTCGGGGTTTCAGTTCAGCGATCAGGGTGGGAGTTCAGGGTTGTCGTGTCTGAGACAGGTTGTTAAGTCGTGTTGGTACGGAGGTTAAATAAACCAACTCATCCCTAAACCCTACACCTTAGGCCTTTTTCCTAGGATCTAGACCGACGGCTTCTGCCCTTTAGTCGTCAACCGGCCAAAACCTAGAGCGCTGCACAGTCTTCGATGCCCCTCCCAAAATCTAAGATTCTATGTTGTAGTGCCGGACAAGGCTTCGCAGAATGTGGACTTCATGAACGATGCTTGGCTCATCATGAGACTTTCGAGACTTTCTAGGGTTTCATCTGTGGGGTGTCGGACTCAGCATACGCTTCTTCCTGCCCGTACAGAAAGAACCCCACTGCTGGCCAACATTTTGCATAGATGTTGTGCGGCCAATGACTTGGTCTGAGATAGAGCTGAAGTGAACCTTTGTATATAAGTGAGTATTACTGTTCCAATATGAGGAGCTGCTGATGCCGATGATGAAGTCTTTGGATGCCGGCCTCGTCAACCAGCTGTCCCATGGCTTGATCTGAGAGTGAGACAGGCCTTTTCTGCCGCGCTCCTTTGGTGTTGATGCTCGGGTGCAATATAGGGGCCTGAATAATTACAATTTCTATTTTGGGGGTTCCTTATTAGAAGCATAGCATAATATACCTCAAAACAATTATTCTAATTCTTAAGGCCCCTGTTTGACCTTATAGAGGCGTGGGGTGTACCTGTTTTGGGGGTTTCGGGCATCCCTTGAGCTTCTTCGCTCGATCCGTTCGGAACGAGACTCTCTGTCCAGCCACCTCCCGAACTCTTCATCCCAACCGAGCAGAATCCCAGCCAGCGCCCCTTTCTGAAGCCGTAAACCCGAACATCGGGTCTACATCATAATGTAGTCGTCTTAGAAGCTGATAAAGTTGGATCATGAATGAATCAAAACACGACTTTGCGGACCCAGCTTCCTTTCGCTCAGGCTGAGCGTTTTTGCCCGCGTTGGCGTGAATCCAGACAGCAGGACCCTAACAGGTTCAGCTGCTGAGCATTGTTGTAAATGTTGCAGTAGTCAGCTAGGCTGCTGTCCTACTGCAGTGATACCTGTTCGGCGTACTGAGGCTACGTTTACTGCCACCATGCCATGCTCTACCCACAATGCCGAGGAACTGTTCCTTGTTCTTTCTTGTTCTTGTTGTTGTTGTTGTTGTTGCTGCTGTTGCTGAGTAGTGGCGCTGCTTCTTCTGCTGCTGGTGCTGCTGCTTGTCGTGGTGGTCCTGGTGGTGGCGGTGGGGGGGCTGCTGTTGCTGCTGCTGCCGCGGCTGCCGCTTTGCTGCTCCGCTCTGCAACGGTTCCTATCTGCTCCTCGTGATTGCCATGGCGGCTGGTATGTCTCAGAGTAGCAAAAGGTCCGGGACCCAGCGTCCGGTCGGAATTAAGCAAAAGCACGGGGCCAAGTTCAATGTTGCCACCCATTTTTCGAATCATGGGGTTTCAATGCGAAGGAAACTCGAGACCCTAACACCCTAGATCGTGAAGTCCGCAGCAAGCCGATAGAAGTCTTGGAAAACTAGGCTTTAAATCCTACGCTGATAGGAATCGGAAACACCGAAACTGGAAACTCCAAACTCAAAACTAAATCGGAGCTCCCCTCCCTAAACCCTGCAAGCTGCTCCTATTGCCCTCATGCCTTGAATGCAATCTGTCCGAAGTAAACCCTATACACCGTAAACAGCCCCAAACTCCAAATGCCGCCAACGCTTCCAAAAGGACCTATGAAATCTTGATGAACCTGCACTTTGCCACCAGGAGCTTCGATGAGGTGCCGGTGTTAGGGCAGTGAAGCCTGTATGTAGAGTTGATCCTTCAAAGGGCCCGGTCAGAATGTTCAAGGTTTGAAGGGTCCAAACGGAGTTGATGCAACTAAGTGTGGGTTTGGAAGGTATCGAGGGCCTAAGGCGCAGACTTTAGGCATCAAGGTGTGTGGTTTGGCTCAAATCGTGGGTTGGTGGTGTAGAGAGTGCAGGGCTCTTGGGGCGTCAAGTGGAGGCTTCAGGCTTTCGCATGCAGGCGTTAGGGTAGGGGGTGGTGTATGTGCAAAAGCATGCATGCTTTGTATTTCAGGCTTTAGGTCAATTTCCTGTAAGATACATGGGTGGATTCGAATCACAGAGCGATAGAAATTTGCACGCAGCCTTTTGCGATTCGGAGATTCAGGCTTCTCGGAGTGGGATTTAACTCCAAGATCAGATAAACAACCGCGCGTCCAAGACCCAAAACCTTCCCAGAACCTCACTGAATCCGACTTGAAGATGCCAGCGAGAAGCTAAAACACCCTAAGCCCTGCATGTCTGTATGATTATCTATCTATCTATCTATCTATCTATCTATATATATATATATATATATATTCACCCTATGACCCTAAACCCTTGAGGCCCTAAATCCTCCAAAGCGACCTGAAGGTCCGGGATCTGGCTTCGAAGATGCGCAAGGAGGGGTTGAAGCCCACTCAGCGCTCCACCCTGGTCCTGCTGAAGACCGCCCTTCAGGAGCGAAATGGTATACAGTTTCAGCTTGGGGTTTAGGCCTGAAGTTGTTAAAGTTTGGGGTTTAGGGTTCGGTTTTGGAGATTACGGAGCAAGGTTTGAGGGTTTCGGGCCCGGGGATTTCTGGCATGGCTGCTCAGAGGGATTGTGTCTCAAATAGCCCGGGGTGGGAGCCCTCAGAAGCGAAAACAGTTCTATCCTCCTTATATACTGCAAAAGAAACAGGGGGAAAAATAATTACCAATACTAGTGTTGCGTTCCTTGTTTTACATATGGTCGAAGATACCCCTAAACTCTACTCTAATTACTGGGGCCCGTATATTGGCGAGCATTGTGTGATAAATCTCGACGGTCTGTTCTCGATATTTGGACCATTACATTCGTCTCTGGCCGTGGTCTCAGGCGATGAGGTTCGGAGCAGCAGGTCCGCCCAGGCACGAAACCCAAAACAAAGCTCAAAAGCGGCAGAGGGGAGCCAAAGATGGACCGGGGCTGTCGTGGCTTCAGGTTTCAGGTTCAAGGTGTTTTACCTCGGAACTTGGACCAGGTTCGCAGGTAATTAGGGCCACACTGCTGGTTCTCATCCAACATGTTGTTCGCGCAGGAGGGTACGCTTCGATGCTTTGGCAGCAGCTTTAGAAGCGCTTACCTGCGGCTCATATGTCTTGTTTTTATGAAGATCCTGAGGGTGACGGGTGGCTTCGAAACGCTTCATTTCACGCCCAACAACCCAAACCGTCGATCCTTGACCGAGACCCTAAATCTTCTTCACTTCACTACATAGAGGTCCGACGGTCCTGTGCAACAAGACGACCCCAAGAGCGAACCACGGGTCTGGAAAAGCGGAGACTTGCAGCTCCTTGCAAAAGGTGAAACTGAAGCCACCGCTCGACCTCGAAAAGAGGGAGCTCAGGCAGGCAAGCAGCGAACAGCAAGCACCGAGACAGCGGTCGCCCCCTGACAGCACGAAACGAAGACCGGCAACACCACTGACTGGAAAAGTGCGCTGCGCTGCAAAACAACCTGACACGGGCAGCACTTACCCGCAAAAGTCAGGGCCTGTCCCACAAAGAGCAAAAGCCCTGAATGCATGACCCCAATCAAGGCATTCAGAAGGAAACGCAGAAGACGGAAAGAACAAGTCACGACACTGGCCGCGGTCACCGGGTGGTAGACAGCGTCGTGCCAACTGGCCACGGTGTCTGTGGTCACCGTCGTAGTAGACTGCAGCGTACAGGTCACCGTGCTGGTAGCGGTGGTGGTTGTCGCCGTAGAGGTAGACAGTGTCGAACAGGTCACCATGCTGGCGGCAGTGGCTGGTCACCAGGTCACCGTGCTGTTGGCACGTGCCACCGTGCTGGCCGTAGTAGACAGCGCCGTAGTCGTAGTCACGGTGCTAAAGCAGTGGCCTTGGTCACCGTGGTGGTAGACGGCTTCGTACTGGTCACCGCGGTGGCAGTCGTAGCCGACTGCGTCGTGCTGGTCCCCGCGCTGGTGACACTGGCTGCGGTCGTCGTAAAGGTAGACATTGTCGTGCTAGTCGCTGTGCCAATGGTAATGGCCGTACAAACAAACTGAGCAGCAGAGGCCTTACAGGAAGTCCAGGTAGAAGATAAGAGCCCAGAACCCGGAATCGTGCCTTCGGCAGCACAAACCAGCACACTCGGTAGGCGATGACATCAAAGGGAACAAGTCGGAGTGGAAGCGACAATGGCCAGCTTAAAAATGACCAACCAGTGCAATACGCAATGCAAACGATGACGCTTGCGATTGCGATGGGCTCAGTCGCAAGGCGACCGGAGCTCGAGATAGAGGCCACCGGGGACCGGTTATGGCGCTACAGGAACAGGAGTCAGTAGCTGGGGTCGGGAAGCAGCTAAGACCAGGGCACTAAAAGGAAAGAAACCCAGGTCACTAGCCTCGAGCCGCGACGCCTTGAGCCAAAATGGCTACGGAACTAAACCCTAAATCCTCAATCCTGAACGGCTGAGATCGTGATCAGGTGTTCAAAATACCTCGGAGACCACTCCTGGTCCTGAAACATACGCCCAGCCTCGGGCACTCAATCTAAAGACTGAAGCATTCAACCTGAACCATCCCAAAGCGGTAGGCCTACCATAGGCCTCAAGCATCCTGCTCAGCCCAAAACATCTTGAAACCTTAAACCCAACAAATCCTGAAGCGCCAAGACCCAAAACATCGCGAAGCCATGGCCCTGAACCGCCTACATTCTTTCGGTAGATTCGCCGGGATCTCTGTCGACTCTGAACTTGGGATCCCTAAACTCTAAGCCGTATCTCAGGCGATGCCCTGGAGTGCTACATCCAGGTCCCACCCGCGACTTGTCAGGGAAGCTTGCAAACCTACAGCCCTGGAAAGGCCTTTAAGGTGTACAAGAGAAGCTAAGGGCCTCGAATGCCTGTAATTTCGAGGCTTTACCAAGGTCGGATAGCTTGAGGTCTTGGGGTTTAGACTGGTGGGGAAAGGATCTTAAACCGACACTGGTTATGGGTGGTCGGGGGTTCAGGTCCGGGTTGTGTCTCCTTTGTCAATCATATATAGCTCTGACCAAAACCCAACCCCCTCCGCGGCCCCCATGTAGAACAGGGGTTTCGAGTCGCGGGCTTCCGGCCTTGGAGATAGGAGCCTAAGCTCTTCCTTTTCAAGGGCAGCTGTTCATGTCCAGCAGGAAGCGGAAGACTGGTACTTCGTCGGGGTTCGTGGATGAGAAGGTTTCGAGTTTCTGGCTTCAGGCTCAGGGCCTGGTTCGGCTTTCTGTGCGAGTTTGGTACTTGCGGCCTTTGGCTTTATATGGGTTTTGCGCTCAGAGTTTTGGTAGCTGCTGCATGTGTAGGGTTCGGAATGGGTGCAGGCCAGTTGAAACTTGTTTGAACCGCTGCTGTCCGGTTTCGATGTTAGGCAGTGAATCTGTGTCCGCTGACCCACAAACCCCGCTCGGTGCAGCCTACGTCTCCCCAGTAGCCATACGCTTCAAGGTTTAGCTTTTTATATGCCCGGATCAACATTCAGGACACTTTGCCCAAGCACGTCGGCACTCAGCTGGTCGAAACGGCCTGCAGAGAGAGGAGTTGGCGGGAATATGAACAGCCTTCATTTTCAGCTTGCTTTCACCTGAGACGATCTAACTGATTGACTAACTAACTGACTGAACTAACTGACTAACTGCCTAACTGACTACCTGACGAACTGAGTGACCGACTGACGGACGGACGCACTGACAGGCTGGCTGACTGACTGACTGACTGACTGACTGACTAACTAACTAGCTACCAAGCTAACTATCTAACAAACTATCCATCCATCCATCCATCCATCCATCCATCCATCCATCCTTCCTTCCTTCCATCCATCCATCCATCCATCCATCCATCCATCCATCCATCCATCCATCCATCCATCCGTCTACCTACCTACCTACCTACCTACCTACCTACCTATCTACCTATCTACCTATCCACCTATCTATCTATCTATCTATCTGTCTATCTATCTATCTATCTGTCTGTCTGTCTGTCTATCTATCTATCTATCTATCTATCTATCTATCTATGTGTCCATCTACATGCACCAAATCATATCCTATATACACACATACATATACATGTATACATGTTCATGTTTATCAAGCATGTGTGTGAGTGTGTGTATCTATATCTATATGTATGTACGCATGTATGTACGTAGGTAGGTATGGTGTATTGCAGTCCAGGCCTTCCTTCAAGCTGAAGTCTAAACTTTAAGCCTGCAGCTCCAAACGATAGACCGTATTTCCAGCAGCTGTCAGCCCACAGTTCAATCATGAAGGCGTCTCTAAACCTTAGACCCTCAACAGAAAGAAGCAGGAACGTCGCTGAAGTGATGCCGCACCTGGAATCTGGGCGCATCCCGCTGACGGCGCCATGGTAGTAAGCCTGGAGGTTTCATATATCCATACCTAGGGTTTAGGGTTTAGAGGTTTAGGGTTTAGGGTTTAGGGTTTAGTAATATAGCGGCCTAAACAATAGAAAACAAGACTGTATGTTCACTTGCCTGTCAAAAGCTCCAAGGCTTTATGGCAGGCATAGGCTGAGAGGTTTTCGCGCCTGGAGAGGTCTTGGGCTCCATGGCTCTATGAGGTTTTGAGGCGTCATGGCTCGAGGGTTGGCGAGTTGTAGGTTGGGGGTGGGGGGTGGGCAGGACGGGAGGGGGCGGGTGGGTGTACTGTTTAGCGCTTTGTTTTCTTCAATGTCCACTGTCTGCCTGCTCATTTTCTCCAACTGGGGATTTTTGTTGAGTTTTCTTGCTTCATCTCACGATCTCATGATCACTATGAGTTAGGGTTTGAAGAAGGTTTGCTTAAAGGTTTCTTTTCAGACTGTTTTGGCACTTTCTCTTGTCTACCAGATGCATGAAGCCAGGCTTACTTTCAGGCAGGTCTCCACCGACCAGACGGAGAAGGATCCTGTGGGCAAGAACCACACAAGAGAAACCGAACCTCCCCTTTTGTGTTGCTGAGCATGCCAGGGATGGCTTTATGGGTGCAAGGAGGGAAGGGCTGAGTTATGTGCAGAGGAAGCAGGTAGCTTGGGCAGACTTCGGGCGACGAATGAGCCGTAAACGATAAACCGTATAGCACACATTCTAAACCGTCAATCCTGAATGCCTAACCCTAAGGACCCGAATCTCTCGCCGGAGCCCCAACACCCCTGCACCCCCGACTCTCCGAAGGTTGGAGTCGAAAGTCTAAAGTTCCGGCAGCCAAAATCCGGCACCTCCGTCACCCTTCCAAGCAACCCCAAAGCCGAGCAGGTGGATTCCTTGAACCTGCTGCTAAATGAGTCGCTGCGCATCGAGAATTCCAAGCTGGCAAAGCAGGTCGGTTGGAGACAACGTTCATTTTTTCAGATCAGTGTTGTGATTATCGTTGTCAGTGTTTGTTGTTGCTTTTACGGTCCATTCTTGCTAGAATCGTTGTTTGTAGTCATTGTAGTCTTACCATCCGTGTTCTTTTCGTTGCCTGCATCATCAAGTGGGGCGCGCCTAGATGCGCCTGTACGGTTGCTAGACAGGTTCGTGCAGGGTACCAAGGCTACTGCCGGAATTTTGGGATTGAGGCGAGTTTCGGTTTTGGTGTTCTCGGGTTCAGGGATTGGGCTTCGGACCTTTAGGATTCAGAGGAACCCCTTCGCTGGAGGACAGGAATTTGAGAGACCCTAAACCCTGAAACCCTCATCCAGAAAGTCTTATGCTAAACCCTAAACCCCTAAACCTGAACCCATAAAGCCCAGAGCCGTTTCTGTGGGCGTCCCTTCAGCCAGGCTCTGCAGCTCGCGGGCAGCCAGGGCTTGGAGAAGAACGGACGTTCTCCGCCGATTTACGACGTAGTGCTTAGGACCACGGGGTTTAGAGTTTAGGGTTTAGGGTTTAGGATGGCCTAATCTAAGTTATAAGATTGGGTGAAGGATGTCGGGCACAGGGTTGACGGTCTAACGATCTTCTCAATAGGACCTTAGATGAACAAGAAATCGTGTTGAACTCACGCGTTAGGCTTTCGACCTGAGACTTGCTTTCGACAAAAACCTTTAATTCCTACTTGGGGTCGTTCCCAGTCTCCAGGCACATACAGCCTCCTCATTCGTGCAGCTGGGGGCGACACGCAGGCCGTGAGTTCGGACTTCGTGGTTTTATTGTTTCTTGGTGGGAGTTTAGGTTTTAAGCTCACGATCCAGGTCGGAAAGCCCTTAAACTCCCAATCCTCAATGGCACATGCGGGGTCGTGCACTTGAGTCTTGTCTTGGGGCCGAGCTCAAGCGGAACTGAGAGCCTTGATCCCGCTGTTTCGGGTTTTGTTGACGGCCTCGTGCGTGCACAGGCGCCCATCTAGGTCAGCCGGGCGGAAGCATGACGGTAGCAGCACCTGTTGCCCGGCCCTTCTGTACCTAGGCTCAACCTAGCTTAACATCTGTGAACTTGTGGCACTGAGACCTGACCAGCAGCTGGAAACGTGGTTTTAGGGCACCGAGCGTGGGCTTGGCATCTAGGCTAGGGGTTCGTGCAAAAAATCAGCTTGCGGGAAGAGCATTTATGGTTTCAGGTTTCCGGAGCCCTAAACCCTAAACTCCTATTTTCCACTGAGCCTTCAAGCTTATATGCTCTGAACTCCAAACTTGTCACGCCCTGAACCACCAGCTTCGGAAGTTGGGTTGCCAGGAGATTCGCCGCATTCTCGAAGAGCTGAGCTCCTTGGCGACCCCCTTTCAGTAGCTATTGCTCGTAATCTAGATCGTAGACCCGTCCTTAAATTCCAATCTTCAACCCTGGACCTAGAAGTACGGGAGGCTTCTTGAGATCCCGGTCCATTGTTGGTCCCACTGTTCGGGCCCTGTGGCTCATTCCTAGTAGGTACCTGAGCATGACTCCTGTGGCTTAAGCTCATGGATTTGGGTGTATGGTTCGGGGTGTTGGTTCAGGGTTGGGTATTTAGTGGGTGAAATACGTAGGATTTTCGGTTAAGGTTGAAGCTTACAAGACTAATATTTGGACCCGAAGTTCAAGTATCCCTCTAGCTGTCGCGTCAAGACCGAACCCTAAACCCGACAGCAACCCAATGAGCCCCGAGCACCCAACCATCTCATCTCCTCTTTGAAAATAGGCTTCAAGCAGGGGTCGGACGCTGCACCCATCAGTAAGTACACTGACAGAGCTGAGACGTGTAAAAATCAAACCCTGCTGTAACCCCTGAGCCGAAACCCTGACCCTTTAGTAGCTCTTGGCGAAGGTTCCATGGACAATGTCGTGTTCCAAGCTGTGCTCGACGCGTGCGCAAAGACCGGTGACGTGGGCTTAGCAGAGCCTTGGAGCATTGAAGGCATCCGTCAGAGTCGTCCTCAAAGCCATGTTTTCCTTGCCGGAGTAGTCGTCCCAGAAACAGCTCATCATCAGTATGAACATCATCAACATCATCACCACCGTCATCATCATCACCATCATCATCATCGTCGTCATCATCGTCATCATCATCCTACAACGGCCAGAGAGCTCAACCCTGATGTGCTCCAAGCCGCCCGAGACCTGAGTTGAGAGACTTGCAACAGGGGCATGCAAGTACAAGCCACTTACCACTGTGCTTACACCACCTCCTCCAATTGAGCGCAACACACAAAAAAACTCAGACTCGAAATCCGCCGCTTTCAGGAAACCCTCGCCAAGCGCTTAAACCCGGCCGAAGCCGGCCAGGTTCCGGATCAGGGGGGTTTGCGAGGGAGGCTTCAGGATGGTTGAGGCTTTGGGGATTGAGTGTTTCGGAGTTCCACCAGGAAGCAAAGATGGGTTCGAGGGCATTTTGTTGAGGGTGCTCACTGAATCCACGACGTTGCCTTCGCAGTGTCCAGAGTCTTTATCAGTCCAGGGCTTAAAGGGCTTGGATCTTGGCGCTAGGAGAGCATCTGGAAATTCGGTTTACGTTTCTAGAGTTGGGTGTTTTGGCTGAACCTTCCTAAACTTGAAATCCTGGAACGAACCTGCGCCTGATGCAGCCTATGTCACCCCTCCGCTTGAGGGCGATCGTTTGTGACCGGTCTTACCAGGCATGTGCAGAACACCAAAAAGACTCTATGTACACCTTGTCTCCAAAATTCATTTACAGACATTTGCAGCGATCAACCCTCAAACTCCACACCCAACCCTGAATCCTAATCCCCCACGTCTCAACGCTAAACCCTACCCAACACCCTCGAAATCCTGAATGCCAGGCTCCGGCTTTCATGTCCCTGATCCGCTTCTACGCGGAGGCACACCGGTCCAGGATCCGTCCCAGAAATCCCAGACCGCAAATCGCCGAGCGCGAATCCTGAAGTTCAGGGCCCGCAAAGGCCTCAACCCTGAAACGTGCCCTGAACCATGGACCAGGCTTTGAGGCTTTTTGTGGAAATTGGAGGTTTGGGCGCGCGGCTGGAGATCCGATTCTGTAAACATCTCTCCTTGCTTCTGGGGGAGGGCCTCCATGGCCAGGCCGGGGAGCCGGCCCGAGCCTGCGACGTCTATGGAGGCCTGATGCAGAAGGTGGGCATAGATGGGCACGGAAGCCTAAACTTCGATTTCCCGAAAGCGATTTGCGGCTTAAGCCGCCGCGGGAAGCCTGAATCTGGAGGCACCTCGAAGTCCATAGCCTATGCGGCCTATACCTGTCTGTGCCCGAAGCCCAAGTCCCGAACCCCTCTGGTTAACCCGGGTCGCGACGGTCCCGCATGGAGGCATTGCCAGGGCCTTTTTGAGAAAGTTTCTTCCGAAGCACCAGACAACAGCCAGTGCACACAATCCTTGGCAGGGCGCAGATGGACAGCCGATCCTTGGTACGGATTGTTTGGCTGTCGTAGGGCGTAGGGCGACGCAGTGTCCCGGAGGTTAAGATATGCCGGTTGGATAGGCTTTAGTTTCTTGGGCTCTGGACTCCAGCATCTCGATTTGCGGCTAAAGTTCGGGTGTCTGAGATTTCAGGAAACTCAGTTCACCTGTAACAGCTGAGGTACTAAAGCCAGCTTTATAAAGCCTCCCTTGGGGAGACCTTGTATCTAATCACCTGATCGACTTCATCAAGCACACTGTCTACATTCATGGTCAAAGCGTAAACGACTCCGCAAGCTCTGTGAAGCTGAAGCGTGTGAGGTTTTCAATCCACAATCTAGTCTGAGCTGTTGTTTGCTCTCAGCGCTGGAGCCTCACCCCTTATAAACCCTAAACCAAAACCTGGAGCCTTGAGCCCGAAATCTTTGAGGCATCGGCCCACTATTGATGCGCGCACGAAGCATTGCCTCCTCTCGGCGGCGCAGAGCTGCGAGCGCCAGGAGATGTTTGGGCTCCAGGTGCTGGTGCTGCGACGGTGGCGGTGATGATGATAATGGTGACAGTGATGACGATGACGATGATGGTGATGATGCTGTTGTTGTTGTTGTTGTTGGTGGTGGTGGTGGTGGAAGTAACGATCGGTATGATGATAAGCAAGATGATGCTCGTAATGAAAGGTGATGAAATATGACACATGACGTTGATGAAGAGCGGGGATGGCAGCACATCTGGATTCAGATGCTGGTGCTTCAGGCCAGGATTTGCTGCTTCTGGTGATGTTGCTGGTGGCGACGAAATTGGGGATTATCTCGATGGTGATGCGGCCGTGATGATATAAACGGCGTTGGTCATGGTCCCTGCGATCGTCATCTTCGTCATGCCAATCGTCATCCTTCATCCTCTCTGTTGTGTTTTTCGCGCCGGCATCGATGGTGGCAATTGTGGCGGTGGTGGTGCTAGTGGTGGTTGTTGTTGTTGGTGGTAGACTAGTTGCTGTGACAGCGGTGACAGCTGTGGTCGTCGGGTGCAGATGTTGGTGGTGGTGCTTGTTGGGGTTGGCTGTTGTTGTTGCTCTTGTTGTTTCCATGGCTGTTGCTGCGCTGGAATTGCTGCTTGTATACTGACGCAGCTGCCACTTCCGCTGCAGGCTGCTGTTGCTGCTGCCACTATTCCTTCATGGTGCCATGGGGCTTGTTCTGGTGATCTGTGTCGCAGTATTTCGCAGGGTTGTGGTGTTTGTGGTATCATAAAAATAGGATTTTCAATCGAATAGGCTGTAAAGCCCAGAAGCCCACACCACGCCCAGTCCCGAAAACCTGAACCATACATTGGATCGCCTTCCCGAAACCCTAAACCCTAAACCCTAAACCCTAAACCCTAAACCGTAAACCGTAAACCGTAAACCCTAAAAAGCCCAGGTCTCAGCCCAAACCAAACTTGCATCAATGTTCTCTCCCTACTCTCACTAGTAACAGTGGTAAATACCTGGTACAAGCATAATGCTAAGCACCAGAGCCCTAAACCCGAACATCCAAACCTCAAGCCCTAAGCCCCAAATTCTGAACCCCTACCCGAAGTCTTCGTAATAGCATCCATTTTGTGGTTACTATATACTTGTTATGCTCTTATACCATATTGGACCCCACAGTCCTATTCTCATTGGTGTAGGATCTCCTTGATGAGTTGGTCGATGCAGCGGACGCATCGCAAGGACACGCGCCGCTCTGTTTCTGGGTAGTGGGAGTTTTAAGCTTGCGGGTTCACTGTTTAGGGTTCTTAGGGTTTTAGGTTTAGCCTTTTGTGGCTAGGGTACTTACGTTCTGACACTTATAAGCTTAGGGTCTCGGTGTGTGGGGGTTGGTTCTTCAGGTTACGGTGTCATGGTTTAAGGTTGTGGGGTTCACGGTTCTTCAAGTCCCTTACTGACAACCGAATCCTTGTGACAGTTGCAGGGATGGCTTTCTTTGGATTTGAAGCCTGCCGTCTTCCAAAGCTTGCACTTCAATAAATGCAGGTATCGGTGGAAGCAGTGGCGGCAGGAATGATCGCAAGAGTGAACAACAAGCAATGTATGCATTGACAAAAACATTTGCGATGACCTCAGCATTGGCAATGCTCACGGTACTACTAACAACAACTATGAATGCTATATAATTTCGCAACAAGAGCAACAGTAGTAGGCAGAATAACCAGAGTCACCATCACAATACCCAGGCGTGTAGAGTAGCCCTGAGTGAACAGTATTCCATTCCGATGCCTTAGACTCCGAGCTTTAAGCCTCGTGATCGGAGCAGGTTCGAGTTCATGATGCAACAAAGCTCAAGCAGTCTGTGCCTGATGCCACGATGAGGAAAAACCCTGAGCCTCGCAAGCTCTGCTATCAAGCTACTGCCTGAAGTCTTCCGAAGCCCTTTCCAGGCACTGTGTTCCCTCGTTTCAAAGACGGCCGCCGGGCTTGAAACAGTCAAGTGTTTGATGTGCAGAGGTTTTGATAGGCTTGAACCCTGGTGAGACTAGGAATATCTATCAATAACAGTGGTGGTGATCTTAAGATTTGTGCAAGTGGTAGCAATCAACTGACAATCTTGTGAAGTGCCAAAAGAAACAAACGAACGAGAGCACTATTGCGGATGAAAGTGTTGTTGTCCATGAGGAGGATGTTGATAGTGACCACCGTGGTCATACTTGTCAAAATTACAGTAGCCATAACGATCGCGAAGTATGAGAAATTGTGAGGAGTCCACTAACGGTGGGTGCAGCACAAGTGCTTGCCCGAGAAGGAATGTGCAACATGAAGCAGCACTGTTTCCTTTCATGTGCCCGGAGGTTGCACGCACGCGCCTGCCAAGATCAACTCTCTGTGGAAGCATTCTTCACTCACTTGCAAGCGCCAAACAATCAGCTCCTTCCTCAAGTCCAAAATCAAACCCTGCAGGCTCCCAGCCCCAAGGCCTACACCCCACAACCCTAGCTAGGTCCATAAAGCCTCTACAGCTCCTTCAGCCCCACAGCCCCGAGTTTGAAGATTCAGAGAAGCCCGCCACCTCAGGTGCCACGTAAGCCCAAACAACACCTGGCAGGGTTTGTATGCATGGACTTTAGGTACCCATATGTATACACCCATGTGTGTGTATACAGATACATATACATGTACATATACACACACACATACAAATATGCATATGTATATGCATATATTTTGATATATATGTATATGCATAGACATATATATATATATATACATATATATATATATGTATATGCATATATATATATATATATATGTATATCATTGCATATATACACATATATATATATATATATATATGCAAACTTACACATCGATGGACAGATGGCTTGGCTTGGTTCCACCTTGAACTCCACATTGCTGCAGGCAAGAGTGGCAGCATTGACGGTGTTCTCAGCATGCTTCTTGTCTTATCCAGCGGACTGCAGCCCGCTAAAGCCGACAGCCGACATTCTCTTCCCGAAGCCCCGAACACGACATCCCAGCCCCGAACCTCCACAACTGTAGCCCTAAGCCAATTGCTTAGTCTTCAAATAGAAATTCCACCATTGCTTTCGGGCTCCAAGCCGAACGCATTCTTTGAGGGCATGAAGGTTTGGGGAATAGGGTTTTTCAGGGTTTAGGGCTAGGGTCTAGGGGCAATGGGTTTTGGGTTGAACAGGGAAGACTCAGCACTAGTTAGCAGTATTCTTCTTGTACATGTGCTTACAAGCAACTGGGGAAGCTGAATGACAGATCCCATTATTTGTTACTTCAGCATCTCTGTCAAACCTTCATGTAACAATGTAACAGAAAGGTTCACCAACGCCTCTGGCTTGGCATAAAGAGCCTACCTTCCTCCATGCAGGGCAAGAGTAATTCCTGAGAGAGGCGACGCACTGACGATAAGCGAAGCTGCTCCAGGGCCCTAGATAATTTCCCCACCATTCCATGCGTAAGCTTGGATCGAAATGGGGCTTAAGCTTGTGGAGCTGGAGCTCCTCGTATTGGAAACCAATCAACCCGATGCCCAATTCGAAGTGAAACTGGGCCCCAACCTTCCGAATGCAGGGGTCGGAACCATTCGGAATAGGATGAACTATACAAAGCGACAAAAAGCGCAAACCTGACTCTAGTTTCAAGGCACTTGCATTACCGCCTCGTCTGCATATTCGACCTTCCGAACGTCTCTGCTTTTCCCCAAGCCTTCGCAGGTGAATGCTGCCCGAACAAGTGACAGCCGAAATCACACAGAACCAACAGTTCCTAACAGTCAATGCCACACCACGAGCCTCAAACGCCAAAGCCACGGAAGCACCAGGCTCTGAAAAAGTCTCGAGCATTCAATACATCAACCCCAAAATCATCCACGAAAGAAGCCCTGCGAGCGAGGTGCTATCCGGAACGCCCTTACCCCTAGACCTTACACTACGAACCCCAGTTCCAAGCCTAAACCCTGAGCACACCCTGAGAACCCGAATCCTCTAACCCGAGCCCCAAATGCCAAACTCTACACTCTGAGCCCAAAAACCCCTGGAGCCCCGATCCCCAACATCTCCCAAAGCCCCAAGCGCTGAAAGCCCTAAGCCCTCAACCCTTAACCTTTTAGGAACCCCTGATGAAGCCGTTACAGTATTGCTAACCCTTACCCGCAACCTTAAACCCTGAACCGGAAGCCCTGAACCTAAAACCCTAAACCCTAAACCCTAAACCCAAAGCCCCTAAACCCTAAACCCTGGAACGGAAAAGGCTCGAGGGCCCGACGAAGCTGCCGTCAACGGCCTGGAACATCGCTCTGGACACCTGCGTGGAGTTTGGCGAGCTAGAGAAGGCTTGATATTTGTTTCTATCCTTCGAAATAGCGGGGGCAGGGTTTTGGAAGGGGGCTTTAGAGTGTGTGAGTTTGGGGTTTCAGATTGCCGATTGCAGGATCGAACCGAGTGTGTTTTAGGGGTTCGCAGTGTTATGTTTAAGGTTTCTGAGTTTTGGGGTTTAGGCCACGGTTTGGGAAGCCCACTTTGTCTAAGGTAGGGGTCGGAATCGCTAGCATACAGTACCATTATAGCCCCCTGGACTCCTTTTTAGAATGGCATACCATGCCGCAAAGCACCATTCTGACTGTCAAGGCCCCCCCCGTATATTTCTGCCATCGGGAACTGGTGATGATGCTGTCCCCACCTTTTTGGAAGTCGGCCTTCGGCATGCCCAAAGCCTAGAAGAAGGCGCAGTTCTTTTGTGAAGTGGTTTCGGGAAGATGCGGCCCGTCCCTAACTCCCTATCCTGGGAACCCCAGCACTCTAAAGCCTTGATTCCAAAAGCCCTGAACCCCGAACCCTAAACTCTAAACCCTGAATACACCCAAAGAGCACTTGGCGGAGACTGTAACCGGAACCCGTATGGAGTCCTTCAAGGAACCCTTAAAGGAATCCTTAAAGCACCAAAACCTCGAGATCTCCCGGCAGATTTTGAGGCCAAGCACCTGGCAAAAAGGATGAAAGAAGCTGGCGTGCCTCTCCTTTCGGGTTCCAGAAAAGGTTCCGTTAGAGGAAAAGGGTTCTGGACTAGGGTTTAGGGTACTGTAGGGCTTCGGGTTTAGGGTTAAGGGTTTCAGGTTTAGTGCAGGGTTCCATAAAGAAGGGTTTCATGAAGAGTTGCGTGAATGGTTCTATGGACGGTTCCGTTAAGGGAGGGGCCGGAGCAACCGGAATAGGATTCCCTGAAGGGCTCTATCGGGTTTCCTTTTTGGGGGACTTCCAATTTAGGGATTGGTAAGGGGGTTTTGCTTTGTAGAATAGGCTTGCTTGAGGGTTCCATAGCGGCTCAACAGGGCTCAGGGGTTTAGGGTTTATGGCTTCGTCAGAAGAAGGGCTTATCATTTCCTCTAATCAGGGAAAGGCAACAAGGACAACAACAACTACGTAGCGGTCGACGGTAGGGGCTCTTGCGTACAGGACTTTTTTACAAACTCAGGTGGATCAAAGTCTATAGGGAACCCTGCGAACCCGAGACTTTCAGGGCTCCATGAGAAGAGCGTTGTTTTGGATTTGGGTTCAATGTCTGAGGTGATCGACGTCGTATCCTACAACACCTTGTTGAAGGCCTACGTGCGCCACAGCCTCTTCGACCAAGCCTGCTCTCTACTGATGAGCATGCGCCAGAGACTCAGAGAATTCCGAAATCCTCAGGAACCCTGCAGAGAAGGCCTGGGGTCTAAGTCTTAGTGGTTTTGGTCCATCGTAACCGATGCCAAAAGACAATGACAGCAGCAGGAACTAGCAATATTGATCGTGAGAACAACGCTGAGAGTGATAATGCTAGTTTGATGTAGCCCCGAGTTCTCGCAAACCCCCCTGATCCTACTTTACGTCCCAAGCCAAAAGACCTAAAAGGATGCAGAGCCGAGACGTCTTTGACTTCCTTAACGGGCCCTCATCTTTTGGTGCTGGCTTCACCGTGGTAGAATGCAGCTGCTTTGAAGATCCGCCCAACACCCAAGTCTAGCTAACACAACCTCCCTCAGAGGGAGCCCACACTCAGCAGAGCCCAAAGCCCTGAACCCTCAAACCCTCAAACCCTCAACCCAAAACCCTAGACCCTCACCGTACGCCTTAAGCCCTCAACCCTGAGCCCTCAGCCCCCAACCTGAAACCCTCACCAAACCCTTCTTGAGTTGGAGGCCAGGATGAGGTGCATCGACCGAATGCCGTGACTTACCACGAGCTGATCAGCGGCCTCCTTAAGACCAACAAAGAGATCCACAGGACCTCCACGGTTCTGGGGGTTTAGGGTTTAGGGCGTTTAGGGTTTAGAGTTCTGGGGTTTAGGGTTTAGACTTTAGGCTTTAGGTTCGGACACAGGACCTCGAGGGTTGTGAGTTTCTGCTGAGGGGTTGGATGCCAAAACTTCAAAAGTTCCGCAGAGTTGTGACGTAGTGCATCCCATGTAGCAAAGGCGTAGAGTTCCCTTCCGCACGACCCACTCCGCTGCACGCAGCACACAACCATATCCAACTAGAATCGCTTAGGCCATGAGTGCTACGCCGCCGCCAGGCTCACCCAAACCAGACGACACCCCCGACCACACTACCAGGGAAGGAGTCGATACCAACCCGAGACAACATTCCTCCAGCACACGTGGGGGTGCGAATTCGCTGAAGTGGGGTTTGGGGTTATCTAGGTTGCGAATGAAGCAAAGGTAGTGACACTTCCTTCCTGCAGCCTTGAAAGCGTATGAGCCCACAAACCCTAGACCGAAGTCTAACTTGCAGAAGCTAACTAGTTCGAATCTGGTGGAGTGTTTTCTGTTGAGGTCTTCTGTTGATCGTTGAGGGCTTTGAGCCATCGGAAGATGAAGGCAGCCCCTCAGTGGTGCATGGATTTCCCAAGTCTTCCAGGTTCCCCCACCCACCGAGCGTCAACCCTGAAGCCGACTTCCTACAACTCCAAACCCTAAACTCCAAACCCTAAACTCCAAACCCTAAACCCTAAACCCTAAACCCTAAACCCTAAACCCTAAACTGCGAGGACCCGAGCCTGGGAGTTGGTCTCGGAGTCTCAGCATGACAGATATGGTCCCGGTGGGCCTTTGCAGGGATCCAAAGAAGACTTACAGAACCCAATCTAAGATCCTAAACCCTAAACCCTCAACCCGAAGCCCTAAACCCACAAACCTTAAACCCTTCGGAAAAAGGAGTTTAACATTAAAGAACCCAAAACCGTAAATCGTGGGCTCAGTATCCTCCCTGTGTGGCCACCGTACGGTTTTTTTAAGTACGGGAGCCTTCAGGAGAGCTCGGGAGCAAGCCGCCTAACCGGCCTGTTGAAATAAACACCGTTAATCCTTACCCCTTAACCCTAAACCCCGCACCCTAAACCCTTTGCCCTGAATCCTACACCCTCGATGCTAAATCCCAAATCCTACGCCCCAAACCCTCAAATTTTGATAGCCCAGGAGATGCAGGCAGACCAGGTCGTTCCAAACAAGTTGCTCGTGGCCAACTTGCTGCGCAGCCTAAGGCCCTCCAAACTGGCGGGTTTCGGTTTTGGGGGTTTCGGGTTTAGCCGGGGTTTAGATTTTAAGGTATGGAGGGTTTTCCGGGGGACTCTTAATTCAATCCTTCTCGGGTGTCTGAAGCGATAGTTCAGGTTGACGGAAGCAGTTTGGGAACAGCTTTGAGTTTAGGGTCAACCGAGGGGCCTTAGCAGTTGGAATGCTATGGTTTCGGGGTACATCGTAGTCGGATACAGGTGCCTTAGCCGGGTTTGAGTAGGCATAGCAAGACATCTCTATCATCCATTGCATGAATGAGGATATACGGTAAGAAAAGGATGAGCGAGAGTAGTCCTTGAACCCGGCGTCCCACTTGTGAGCCGAGACCCGCGAGGCCGAAATCCTACGGCGCCGAGGTCACCCGGGCGATGCAGCTGGTGGATGCCGTCCAGCATCAGGTGACCGATGCCCGTGTCGGTTTTCTCTTATGTAGGGTTGATAGTCGGGGCTTATAATAAGGCTTATGGTAGGTTATGGGAGGCTTAGGGTTAGTGGCGGCTGAAGAAAAGTCAAGGTTCAGGTTTAAGGTTGCAAAGAGTCGCGGCGCGTGATGTTCGGAGCTGAGCCTGAGGGCTCCGCGGGCGCCTCACCCTAAACCCTGTGCCCTAAACTACAGTCGAGATTTAGATCATGTCAGAGATTCGCAGATTAAGGCCCTCAGAGGACTATGCCAGATGTAGCCCAAACTTGCAGACCAAGCGTGGATATCCACAAGCTGTGCGTGGCCCCGTTTATGGGGTTCAGGGTTTAGGGGTTTAGGTTAGGGCAAGAAATTCAGAACATCCGGGTCTGCAGACAGAGTGGTTGATATAGAAGGCTGAAGCGGTATACTGTTAGGATTCCCTTCTACATATAGTATGATATACCACAGAGCCCTATTCCAGTTATTAAGGCCCTTATAATCTTGGTCTTGGTGCAGAGCTGGGAACGGCTGTATGCACATAAGTAATCAACTTGCCTCCAAACCCAGGTCCGGAACGGTTTAAGGAGTTTAAGGGATCAGGGTTTAGGGTTGAAGGCCTAGCGCCTTGTCAGCCGGGGGGGGCGACGCCCTGGCTGGAGGGCACGACGGACGAGTTTAACAGCCGCACGTGGATGATGCTAGCGGGGGACTCCACCCCGGTGCTCACATCGAGGGGCTCAAGGCCCGGCTCGAGTTGGGCAGACTTGTTACATACTCCAGACCCGCGATGCCTTGCGGGAGGGTGCTCTCTCTGCTGGGGCGCCCGTGTGCATGCCTTGGGACGGGCATCGCTCCTTCTTTGCCGGGCCCTGCGATGCGTCTCGCTCCCTGGCAGAGGATGCTACGCTCTTGTTGGACCCAGACCTCTGGTGCGAAGACTTCCGACCGATGTGCCGCAAAAGCAGTGCCCCAGTGGCGTGCCCTGCTTTGGTCCCCGTCGTGGGATGCTCGGCATCGTTCGTCTTGACGGGTGCCGTTGTGTCACTGTGGTTGGATGACCCTCCAACACCTCAGTTCGTGCACTCGTTTCAAACCAGCATCCCCTTGGCTGCTGCACGGCGCCAGCTCCTCTGGCTCGAGCATGCTACCGACGTCGTCGGCCAGTTCATCGCAGCATCAGCTCATTCCCCCGTGTGCTTTGTGGCCTCGCCTTCAGCACTCTCCTGCCTGCCGCCCGTCACTGACTGGATTTGTGACTCCGGCTTCAGCCGCATCGGCACTGGGCTTTCGTCGCCTAGGGTTTAGTGCCGTCTCTGTTTCACCAGAATTCGTTTTGGCCAGGAGCGTGTCCACCGGACTCCCAGCTCACCGAAAGAAAGAAAGGGTTTAAGGGATCAGGGTTTAGGGTTTACAGGGTTTAGGGTTTAAGGGGTCTAGGGCAAACCTAAGCCTCAACTTAGACTCTTCAAGCTGATGGAAGGTGGACGAAGGCCTTCTCTGCACCGTTCTGGAAGCCGGTGTCCGTGTGGGCAAGGCCTGTTTCAGCGGGTTTTCGTCTTGGCCCCCAAGCCCAAAGCTCCACACGTTGGACTGGATGTCCTCAATCCTCAACCTACCTGTTCAACCCAAGCCCTGACGTCGACCCATAAAGGTCCAAAGCCAAAGCGTGAGCACTTTGCCGCTACTTGATGCCTTCATCATGGTTGGTTGCACGGTGATGGTGAGAAGGAAGATTTTTATGGTGATGAGGATGACGATGACGATGACGATGGCGACGACGACGATGACGATGATGACGACGACGATGGTCACGATGATGCTGATGATTGTGATGATGGTGGTGATGATGGTAATGTTGTTGTTGATGATGATGATGACGATGACGACACTGACATCACCGATACCAGTGCATGTTCCGCGTAGTAGACGAGAAGCTAAGGTACGTAACGCCTCAGCCGTAGAAAACGAACTCGCGCGTCCAGAGGTCCAGGTGGTCCAGAAGAAGTTGAAGACCTTCTATGGAGAGGGGGCGGAGTTCCCCGTGAAGGTGACCGGGGCCCATTCCTTTGGCTCCCTCATCAAGGCACGGGCTTCTGGGTTTCTGTGGATTTGTAGCCGGATATGCCGGCTTCTCTATCGCTGCCCAGCCAAAACCATAGTAGGGTTTATTCTCTCCATGGTGTTTCGGCGGTCGTGTCGAAGACCCGACATGTCGTTATCCATGTCGTGCAAAGGCCTGCAAAAGCTCGCAGGGGCTGCGCCTAATCCCTTGTCCACACTGCTAAGCCGCTAAGCCCGGAACTTCAGAAGCTCCAAACCTCAAAGCCCAGATCCTGAGATCCAACATCTTAACTCCGAGGCCCTGGCAAGGATTCCAAAACCCTGAACCCTATCCCCGACACCCTGCACCTAAAATCCTACACCCTAAAACCTAAGCCCGAAGCGGCCTTAAATCCCAAACCCTACACCTCGCTTCTCAGGCCTATGGCTTTGTGAAGGATGTGGCTGGTGCTTGGGCTTGCTGGCGCGAGATGTCCATGCTGCGTATTCAGCCGCTTCGGCCATGATCTTCTCTGTGCATTTGCTTCAGTTCTAGAGTAAGAGGGTATGTGTTGCTTCAGATATCTCACCCTCTGTCAAATGTTTTGTATATGTAGTGATGTGCTTCTTCCTTGAGTTCAGGGCGCGAAGTTTTATGGCTCAGGGCTCTGAGGTTAAGAGCTTTAGTGTGATGGCCCTGACTTTCTCAATTCCTCTTTTCCTTGCTATGTTTCTTGACAGGTACTCTGACTAGTAATCCTGTGGTGTTAAGAGTTTCCGCCTAGCCCCCGCTGCCTCCCTGGAAGTAGCCCCGGGATGGTTCTTCGGTTAGACGTGCAGATCCGGGCTGCAGTTCGAGCAAGGGCCGGTTTTGAAGGCACCGAGCAGTTCTCTGAGTGGAGGTTTTTCGGGCAAAAGTACCGGGACCCAGGCCCACGAACATCACCCTCGGCTGCATGGTGGAGGTGCCATCTTGGGTTGCAGGGAGTTGCTTTGACGCGAGGTGGACACAGGATTCTGCCCGCCCTGATTTCGGGGTGAGAGCCTTAATCGTAAAGCCTAGACCAGAATTCTCACTGACCTCTAAACCGGCTACTTCGTAGTTTGTGAGCTTTTCGGCGGGCTCGCGAGTTCTGTCTGGAGGCTGTGGCGAGCAACGGCGACGTCGATGGAGCCCACGAGCTCGTCCAGAGGCCTGTTTGGGTTTCAGGGGTCTCGGGTTTAGGACTTTAGGTGTTCAGGGTTCAGGGGGTTTGGGTTTTGCGTTTCGGGTCATATGGCTTCTAGGGTTTGGGGTTTTTGGCTTCAGTGGTTCCGGTCGGGTCAAACGTTTGGAGTCCGAAGGCAAGGCCTTCAACCGATTGCAGCCCAGATCACAGACATCTAAGGCACTAGCTTCCAACGCGCTACTTTTTTAAGGCTACACCGTTGCATAGCTGGCATAGCTTCAACTGAATTACTTTGGTCCCTAACCCTTAGACCTAGAAAGTAAATCCTAAACCCTGAACTTTACATGCTAAACTCCGTTCGCGCAACCCAAACCTACATCGGAAACCGCCCAAATCCTGCAACACTTGAGACTTCACCAAACAAGGTCTCTTTGCCTTAGGTGTTTAGAGGTGGCGACAACACAACTTTTTGAAGCTGCATCACAGCTGCCTGTGTGTACTGGATATGTTGATATGTTGGGTGAATACAAGATGGCAAGAAAGACGCATTAAAAGGCTTGGCGGTTTGACGCTGAGGGCTGAGGGCTTCGCGGTATCTGGGCTGAGGGCCTCGGGTTTGGAAACTGTCGTTATGGCCACAGCTTTCGAACGCATTTGCTACACCAGTTGAAGCCCGAGCCTGGGCTGTTTCTCTTATTTTGTGTTTGTTTCGTGTCTGGGTGGGGACCTCCTGGCTTCCCTCTGTGGGGGGGGTAACTCCCACTGCGGCAAGGTGGGGTCCCGTCGAGAGGGAAAAACACGAAGCTCTCCTCCACAGCCGTGGGACCAGGGGTCACTTAGCAACCTCGAGTCCGCACCGTTTCGGGTCACTGAGCAAACTTTTTCGGGGTTTCATCATATATATGTATATATATGTTACACACGTTTTCGCCTTTGCCGTAAACACGCCCCCTCATTTGGCAATTCCGGTTCATGTTGCATCTTAAGCACGCGCCCTCATTTGGCGGTTCCGGTATTGCACACGCCCTCTCGTTCAGCGATTCGAATTCATCATATATCTTAAACATGCCCCCCCTCATTTGACGATTCGGGTTCATCATATATCTTAAACACGCCCCATCATGTAGCGATTCTGGTTCGTCATATATCTTGAACACGCCCCCTCATTTGGCGTTTCCGGTTCATCATACTGGATTCACCAGCTATCTTGGAAACATCCCCTCATTTGGCCATTCCGGTTCACCATACTCTCATATTGCTCAAGCACGCCCCGTCATTTGACGATTGCGGTTCTTCATCATTTTAAGCACGCCCTCTCATTTCGGGATTCGAATTCATCCTATACCTTAAGCACGACCCCTCATTTGGACTCCGGTTCATCATACCGGATTCACCATATACCCTAAACACGCCCCGGCATTTGGCGATTCCGGTTCATCATACATCCCTCGTTTGGCCATTCCGGTTCATCATGCCGGATTCACCGTAAATCTTTAACACGCCCCGGCATTTGGCGATCCGGTTCATCATATATCCCTCGTTTGGCGATTCCGGTTCATCATACCGGATTCACATTAAATCTTTAACACGCCCCGTCATTTGGCGATTCCGGTTCGTCATATGTTTTAAACATGCCCCCTCATTTCGCCATTCGGGTTCATCCTATATCTTAGACATGCTCCCTCATTTGGCGATTCTGGTTCTTCATACATCCTAAACGCGCTCCGTCATTTGTCGATTCCGGTTCATCATCTATCTTAAGCGCTCTCTCATTTGGAGATTCTGGTTCTTCATATATCTTCAACGCGCCCCGTCATTTGTCGATTCC